AGTGTACAAGGGTTCCCATCTCTCCACATCTTCTCCAACATTTGTTTTTCCTGTCTTGTTAATTATAACCATTCTGAGCAGAGTGAGGTGATACCTCACTGTAGTTTTGATTTGCATTTCCCTGATAGCTAATGATATTGAGCATCTTTTGTGAAGTAGCTCCCAAACTCATTGAATTGTTTCTCTACATTCTTTTTTAACTCATTGAGGTGTTTGATGATAGCTATTTTGAATTCTCTGTCATTTAGATTGCATATTTCTGTGTCCTCAGGACTGATTTCTGGTTACTTGTCATTTTCTCTCTGGTCTGGAGATTTAATATAATTTTTGATGCTTCCAGAGGGTGTGGCTCTGTTTTTGCACATCATGGTATTTGGTCTCAGTGACTGCATATTGCAGCTGGGTGGGGGTCAAGAGCCACATATTCTGAGCCCTCTGTGTTCCATCAAGATCCCAGGCACTGGAGCTGGTGCTGGAGCTGGCACTGGGTGGGTGGGGGGAGCAGTGCATTCTTCTGTGTGCTCTTGGGGTTTTCTTGCTCTGCTTTCACTATCTGCTCTCATGGGGTGTTGGGTTGATGAGGTCACCCCCTGTGATAGCTTTCACCCCACTTGAGGGCTTCCCTCTAGGCTGCAAGGGCCCTTGGGGATCTTTGACATTTGACAAATGAACATCCCTTCCCCCATTCCTTCCCTCTCAGAGGCCATCCGTGGTCCCAGATTATAGTCTTTTGGGGAGAGAGTGAAATTTTCTCTTACCCCATTCCACCTTGTCTGACGGGGGCTCCAGCCTCTCCACCCTCTGTCATATGGCTCTGTGGGTCTCTCAGATGTCTTTTATATTGTGTTTGGATGGCCTCTGTTGGAGTATGAGTGTCTTTTTTGTTGTATGGTGGAAAGGAGAGATTACCGAGAAAGCTCACTCAGCCATGATGCTGACATCACTTCTCCCAGAGTCTGCTTGAGTTATTTTTTATCTTGCCTTATTGCACATACATTTATTTATTTAAACATGTGTTACTGTAAGATGCCTTAAATTATTTCTAGAATAAAATGAAGTATTAAAAATCAATCGCAAACACTAATGGTAGGAATGTAAGATGATGCAGCCACTTTGGAAAACAGTCTTGTACGTCCTCAAAAGGTTAAACATAAAGTTACCATGTGATCCAGCAATTCTATTCTTAGGTATATACACCCAGGAGAAATGAAAACGTATTGCCACATAAAAACTTGTACACAAATGTTCGTAACAGCATTATTCATAATACCTTAAAAGTGGAAACAACCCAAATACCCATCAACTGATGAATGGATAAACAAAATATGGTATATCAGTATGACGGAGCATTATTTAGCATAAAAAAGAATGAAATATTGATACCTGCCACAACACAGATGAACTTTGAAAACGTTATGCTAAGTGAACAAAACCAGTCACAAAAGAGCCCAGATTTTATATGAAATGTCCAGATTAGGCAAATCCATAGAAACAGAAAGTAGATTGGTAGTTGCCTGGGACTGAGGAGGTTGAGAGGAAATGGGAAGTGACTGCTAATGGATACGGAGTTTCCTTTGGGGGTGATGAAAATGTCCTAAAATTTGATTAAGATAATGGTTGTACAACTGTATGAATATACTAAAACTCTTTTAATTGTATACTTTAAATGAACTGTACAGTATATGAATTATTTCTCATTAAAGCTATTGTAGAAGTCATTTGCAGTAATTAATCAACTGTAAATTTTATGGAGTAGTTTTTGCTGGTTTCCTTACACTTTTAATTTTCACTTTGTGCCAGATATGCACACTGTAGTTAAACCTGCTTATCTTCAGCCAAATCTGCAGACTTTTTTGGGATTGTGAATCTCCAAGAGTAAGGATGGCCTTCTCCGTAGGTTGCAAATTTCCTCTACATCATCTCGTTCAGTACCTTTTGGTCCACTAGGCAAAGCCTGTGATTGTTCAGCAGCAAGTTCCAAGCCTGTGGGCATAAATGCTGTCATTGTATTTCACTCCTCCTTGTGTTTGCATACCCTGTCTCTTCTCCCTTATGTTATTCGACCTGGTAGTGAAAATAAATGAGTAAGAGTGGTCCTAGAAGTAAGAGAATAAGAGATGTAGCATGACTGCTGGCAAGGAAAGAGAATATTTCAAGAAGGTGGGGCAGGTCATTGTCAGCTATCAGTGAACAGAGAGGTTGAATAGAATGAGAACTAAAAAGAGACCATTGAATTGGTAATTTAAAGGCCTTTAGTTTCTATTGAGAGAGATTATAGTTGGGTAGTGAAGGTAAAAGGTAGATTGTTATGTTCACAAAGATTTAGCTACAGGTCCATCCATTAAGTTTAAGTTGGCCTAAGATTTCACTAGTGATCTTTTTTCTTTCTGTACTGTTGACTTGTCTTCAAGTTTCATAGCTACAACCATCACCTTTCCCCTCCCATTTCCTTGATTCAGACTATGTGCTTCCTAAATGGATTCTCTCCCTCAAATTTTCTCTCTAATGTGGTTCCAATTCATTTTCTAAAGCAAAGGTCTAATTGTGTTATCTTGCTTCTCAAAAAAGCCAGTTCATTGTGGCTGAGAAACAAAACTCAAGCTCACTGGCATGGCTTTTGGTTCTGAATAAGATGTTCCTGGCCAGATTCTCATCCCCATCTCTATTACAGTTGCATTATGCTGTTCCCCATTTGAGCCCTACATTGTACCAATGGGCTTCCATTCCTTCTGTACTCTCCACTTGGAATGCTCCTCCCCTGCACTTCCTGTCAATATCCCTTTCATCCTTTAAGACCCAAGTGTCATCTCATGTGAAACACTTGTTCTGCTAGCTATAATTGTGTACTTCATCTAAGCTACTCTTGTGCTTACACTTTTCAGCCTTGAATTATTGTTATGTCCGTATCTCTTCTGCTACTTGTTTCTAAAGTCCGTGAAAGCTAACATCTCACTCCAGGCATCTTTTCCCCCAAGCACTTGGTGGAATGCCATTCATAGTAAATACCTACTAAGCATTTGAATGAATAAGTGAATTCAATCCTACCTGATTCTCTGAATATTTGATATGTGTAAGTTTGGTATTACCCCAGAAGATAAGTTTCTTATGGATACATATAATGTCTTCTTTGTTTTGCATTCTCCTAGCCCCCACCCCAGTCCTGGGGTAGTCCTGAGCATGTAATGGTCATGCATTATGGAAGTGGTTATTCATTTCTCATAGGGGATGACTGGGTATTGTCCGTTGCTTCCCCTTGTAAGGCAGAAATGCATACAAATGAGAATTATGGATTTAATTCCGGGCAGCATGGCAAGTAGGATCAAGGGAAGGATTAGAATTCACATATCCCCTGGCACTTAAGCCTAGACCAGAAGCAGACCATAACTGTTTGTCAAAATGGAAATTGATTTTTGAATCAAAGAAATTAGCTAGACATTCAAAAACAGGAGTGCCTAAAGGCTTGAACTTGAAAATGCCAAAGTTTTTGCTTTTGCTGAATTGTCAGGGTCTAGAAGCCCCCCTTCTCCCAGAACTTTGAAAGTTCTGATCAGGATATCTATCAAAGAGTAATTTTGTCCTCAGTGGTAGGAATCATATTGAGAAAAAGTAGCTAATTAATGGGCACAGTATTATTCAAGTCTATCTCAAGGAGCCATTGAACATTAACATTTCTTTTTATGGCACTTATCTTGCTTGAAATTGGGTATGCCATGGCTTTCTTCTTCTAATGGACTGACTTACTGTATCCCCACTATCTAGTACAGTGGCTGACCCACATAGCTGGCATTTATTGAGAGCTCACTATATACTACGTGCTGTACGTGGATTATCTCATTTACTCCCCACAGTGACATTATTATCATTTTATAGATGAAGAAACTAAGGCCCAGAGAATTGAATTAACTTGCATATCATCACATATCTCTAAGAACTAGAGTTAGGTTTGACATCAATACTTGGCTTTTAACCTTTATATATTACGCTCCAATACTAGGCACCAAACATTTTTTTTAAATGAATGGGTACATGTGTCATGCTTGAGAGAATAATGGGTTTGGTGATTAAGTATATTGTTTTTTAAATCAACAGAGTATTTTAAATATTTAATATTAATAATAATTTAAGTATAATATTATGTAAATCTCTATTATATTAATAATTAGCATAAAGATTAATATCTTCAAAAAATGGGCGTGCCAGCATATAGGTTATTTTGCCCTGACTCACCCATGTTTTCCATAACTGCTTCCTTCTGGGTTCAGCCATCACTTCCCTCTTTGCTTGCTCCTCATCTTCCTGGGCTACTTCAAACAAATATTTTCTTAATTTCTACCTGAAACTAACACCTCTAAAGGAAGCCACGGCCCACGCCTGGTTTGCTGGCTGAGTCTAGGACTGAGCTGTGGCCAATCTTAGCCCCTCACAGAGGCCCAGGAGACCATGGCTTGGCTGCTGCAGAGGAGACTCAGCAGCACCTGCTGCAGCAGCCGATACCCAGATCCTTGGGCAGTGGCAGCAGTGCAGCCTGAGAGATGGAGCCATCCCAGGATTCTCATTATCCAGGGATCATGCCTTTCCCAACCCTTTGAACCAGAGGGTGAGATTTGAGTTAAGAGTCCAATAACAGTCCAGATTAACAGTCCACTAAACTAGTTGAGACACGATAAAATAATCACTCATTTTTTTCCGTTGCCCTGACTGAACCACATGGCTGGAGGTGCCTGAAGATATATCTATTTAGTTGCAAAGTGCTTTTCCCAACTAAAGAAAGAAACAAAGAAAACAAAGAGGAGTGAAAAGGTGGTAACTTGGGGCCACTGGTTACAGTCCTTAAGACTGCTTTAATCCTCAGACACAAAAATTGGAATTTTTCTTGGCTATGGCATCTCCAGTAGAGGTCATGATCATCTCCAGTCTTCTCCAACTGCCATATGACTCTTTGAAAGCACAGATTAAACAGAAGAAGGAAGTATCAATAGCGATAATAATAAAACAACCACCTCCAACATTGTGCATTCTGTTGGATTCTCCTTGGACAGCTTCTGTGTCCCCTGAGCGCCATCTAGACTTGCTCCTCAGCTCTGGCCTGGTTCTACTTGGTCTTTCTCCTCACTTCGCCTCCTTGCTCAGCATTTTTATGCCTTCCTTCTCCTCCCACACTAATTCTGCTCACTGTCCATGGTATTCTTTTCTTCCCTTGCCCCCTCCCAGCTGTGGTCCCCAGCCTGTCCCCCAGACAAACAGTGCTTGAGGATCTAGAATTTTTGTTAATTACATCACAGTCCCTAAGAATATGATGAGTTAGTCTGAACTTTTCTACTTATTTATTATTGATCACAGGATCAGAGACATAAATAAGGGTAAACTGAAGAGGTTCTTGTGTTCACAAGTGTCATATAGGCTACAACCCTGGGTCATAAAGGGTTTACCCATTGGAGCCCTCTGTCTTAGGAGACCTTCCAGTCTTGGGCCCTGTTTTTGCATGGGAATTCTTTCCAGCTACAGTGGTACACATTCTTTGGCTCCTAAGGGAGATTCTGTCCTATCTGCTCTTAGATTTTATGTTTTGGTTTCAAACCACACTATACTTTTCCTCTGGTCACCTTCTTCACCTTCTTTTGAGTCTTCTCTGGATGAGAAAAGTTGGTTCTTCTCTGTCCTCATCCTCAGGCTCCAGGAAATGCAATGTTCTTCCCTTTGTTTCTTCCCTGGATTCCCCTGAGCTCACTCTGGACCTCCTGTGCTGTCAGCTTTATCTAAAGGTTGAGTTGAGAGCCAGCCCTGATGGCCTGGTAGTTAAAGTTCACACTGTCACTGCTTTGGTGGCCTAGGTTCATTTTCTGGTTGTGGAACCACACCAACCATCTGTCAGTTGCCATGCTGTGGTGGTGGCTCACACAGAAGAACTAGAAGGACTTACAACTAGAATATACAACCATGCACTGGGGCTTTGGGGAGGGGGAAAAAAAAACCTTGGACTGATTTGCTGATCTTTCTAAGCCTGCATCTGGAGTCTCCTCACCCCTGTATCTCAGGCAAGATGGCATCAGCCCTCTCGTCCTGTAGCCCTACAGTCTCTCTGACTTTGCCACACAGAATTCATGCCCATTACCCACTTCAAAAGGAGACTGAGTTTCTGGTTCTAAAACCCTCCAAGGGGCTTCTTTCCTACCTTCTCAGGGCTTTTTTCCTTTTAACAAACACTGACTGTTTCTCTCTGATTGATAGCCACAGATCTACCTCCATGAGTAAGGTGCTGCTGGTTCTCAATTATCTGTTTCCAGTTAGGACCCCACTTTCCCACCCTAGGTGTGAAGTTAGCATGCAATTTCAGTTCTTGCCAGTGAGACTTTAAAACGCCACCACATGCAATATTTGTCGACTTTATGAAAACTGAAATTCAGTTAAATATGCCACCAAATGGGGAGGTGATGCTTCACTAAAATTACACATGCAATGTCAACTTTCTCAGCCTGACTTCTTTTGAGGCATTAGTCATCTTGGGAAAATGCCTGTTTTTGTCATAGTCCTGTCTTCCAGAATGGAAATTTCCTTCCAAGGCAGAGCACCATAGGCTCCGATATTTAACCTATAATTAGTGTACCCTCTGGAGGATTTTCTCCTCTTGATGCAGAGGCCTCTTTGTCCGTCAGGCTTCTGTCTGACGATGATAGGAACTGCAGGGCAGCATGACACATCATGGGACAGGGAAATGTTTGCTCAGATCAAAAATGTTTAGATATTTTGTACCTATGCAAACACTTCCCAGTCTAAGGACTAAACTCACAAGAAACCAGCAGAAAGTATTAAAGACAGAGTATTAAAAAAGAAATGAGGAGACAGAAATCCCAACTTTTGATCTAGTTTTGCCCCAATGTGTGGAATAAGGTTGCTTACCCTCATGCTTTTCTCACCAAGTTCACCAGTATTTTTAGTTTTTGACTTTTCACTTGCTCTTTATCAAATGTGTTTTATTCATTGGTAAACATCCGTCTGTGACTCTTGATAAATAGCTCCCCCTTGCAGGCATCTGATTTTTTGGTTATGAGATGGCAGTTTACAGTGATAAGGCAGCTGTGTCTCAACAGCATTATCTTTTGGGAGCGGAAAGAGCACAGGCGACGCCAGTTCTAGAGCCCAACACAGAAGCCTGGCCTTTTTTCTTGTTTAGAAATATCTCTTTTTTGCCTATTTCTAGCAGAAACCAGGCTGGGAGATTGCAGTAAATAGCTACAACAACTTGTGTTTAATGTGGTGACACTAATGAATTCTGAAAATTAATCTTCAGCCAAGAAAGCATGATGGAAGGTACTAGAATTTCAAATTAGGGAATGGATTGGTTTCCTTCAAGGCTAGAATTTGCTTCCCTTTTCTTCTGGTGGACTTTTCTATCATATTCAAACCACCCACTGTGGCCTTGTAAATCCAGGTAATACATCTCATGGTAATTTTAAATCTTTTGTTCTTTTGTTTTGTCTTTTAGCACAGAGATAACCACACCTAAATCCAGATTTTAAAAAATGATTTAAAAAACCCCTGAGAATGAAAGAAAAAATTGCTTATGACCTTGGAAAAAAGTAGTGTCCCTAAAATTAATCCTCGTTCAATTTCTTTTTTCCAGAGTAAAAGATTCTGGAAAAAACTAAGCTTGGACAATGTATTTCCCCAGTTTGAGACACTGTCCTCTGCAGAAACAGTAGCCTACAGGTATCTCAAATCTGTTGGTGACAGTTAGGGGCTATGCATGTCTCCCTCAGTCAGCTGAGATGAGGACTCTGCTACCCATTCCAAAAGCCTAGTACTGATTTCTCACAACAGAGCTTCTAAGGATGTCATTTGCAGGGCCCTGGTGCCATTGACACAAAAAAGGGTCTGTAGCGAAGTAAGTTTGGAAACATGGACTTAAACAAAATTAAGCTGTTTTCTTTACCCCCATACTTCCAAGACCATTTAATATGCTCACGTGTGTTATGAAATTCCAGATGTGGTTTAGAGAATCACCAATGTTTCCCAAACCTTTTGACACTAGCTTCTCTTTTCAATGGAATATCTTACTTGTCTAGTGTTTCACTCAACTCACCTCACACTGGCTGACCCCCATTTCCCATAAAGAGGTCAACATTTTATGCAGTCTCTTGTTAAGAACTGTTTAATCCCTGGCTGGGGGAAAATATTCAACCTCTGGAATTTGCAATTTCTGGTTTAATAAGTGATCCTGAGATGAATATATATGATATAACTTCCTTAGTTTTCCGTATGTGATCTCCAAATCAGGTTAGAGGATTCTGTCTTGCTTTTAAAAAGGACACATAGGCTGTCAGGAGTTCTTATGGATTCCGGCAGTCAGTTCTATCTTAATTCACTAAATCCCTGCCTGGAAGGAGAGTAAGATGGAAACAATGAGCTGACAAATTTAAACAGTACGAGTTTTGGGCACAAAATTGCAAAGTCTTAAGCAATAAAGAATATACCCTATTTAAAGTTGATAAAAGGACTAAAGCCAAGAATTGTTTCTTAGGCATTCAAAGGAGGTAGTTTAGGAGGTGAAGGTGAGTGAATGTTCTGAGGGACTCCTGAGTTTCTGGCTACACAGCTTGCCTAGTCCGGCTTCTTGCCTTGCTGATCCAGTTTCCCAACTTTGAAATGCCTTCTACCTCTTCTTCACCAATTGAATTCAGTTTAGTTCCAAAACTTCCTGCAAACCCAGCTGAGTTCTCACCAGCTCCACTAAGTTTTCCTTGACTAGATTGCCCCCTCCTACACAGCCTAGTATTGTTCTACACGTTGCATCTATGCCATTTTTAACAACACATTGCAACCTAGGAGGGGTTCTCCTCTGGGACTCAGAGAGTTGGCTTCATCACTATCAGGACCTCACCTCGGTTTCCTCACCTTATAAAAAAAGGGTTAGAATAGAAAATCTTGATCCCTTAGCTCCAAAACCCTATGCTTTTGTGTGATTATTTTTTATCCTAAATATATTAGCAAACACTGCTTTTGCTTTTTCCTATGTTTCTCTTATCCTCTGTCTTACCAATTAGACTGTAGATCCTTGAGGAAAAGGGTCAGAATTTTTTATGAATTAATTTATTTTGGCTAATTCTGGTGCTGTGTAATAAATGTTTGCTGAACAGATGAAATGACCAATGACCTAGTGTCTAGTATTGCAATGACTTTCAGCCATATCTGCTCCTAAGGTAGAACTTTCCTCTGTGTATCAGTAAAATAATAATTCCATTTCAGTCTGGCTCTTTGCTCCCCATGAGAAAAAAGTATGCAAGAGTGTTTTAGAATAAGGCTATACCCTTAAGGTCTTCATGCCCTTCTAAAAATCCTCCAGTGCATTTGGATATGTCACAACTCTGCTTAGCATTCTTCCCTTATACTCTCAGTTTCAGTTTTGCTGATCCAGTGCTATGACATTCAGCCCACTCAGGTCTTACTGAGAGAACTAACAAATCCTCTTGATCATTGCTTCCAGAGAATAGAATGCCAACCATCTTCATTTTTTGAATCCTTAGGAGACAACAGATCCACTTGTTAGTTTATTCCTTGTCTGATTGTCTCACTTCATTATTTAGTCCTTATTTCCCTTACTCCCTCCGTGATCTAGAAAGAGAGATCCTCTCCAAAATATCAAATGACCTTACAACCTTGTTGGCAACCTTGCTCCCCCACTGGATGCCAAAATTATGTAAACAAGACATAGCACCTTTGATTGCATCCCCAGACTCCAGTAGAGATCTGTTTTCATAAGTCTAGAGTCCGGGTTCCCTGGTCTCTTGCAAACCCTATCCAAGGAGCTTTAATTACTAAAATACCAGAAGGACCTTGTTTTCAGGCCTTACCTGGAACACTGTCCCACAGAATCTATCCAGAGGAGGAAGGTAGAGGCAGCCGACTTTCCTGTTTACATGCTATGTATTTTCAATTGATTGTCACTCCTCCCACCTTCAGTCTCAGCCCTCTGAGTTTACTCATTTGAAATATTGGCACTAGTCAACAGGCAGTTGATGTTTGCCCCTGGTGCTTTTGCTCTTTCTTCCTTTTTCAATGAGTACCTACTAGTAGTCAGATGAAACTTCAACAGCTAATGCAGAAAGAAGGCCAAAAAAGGGAAGAGAAATATAAGGTGGGGAAACCCATTAAGAAACCAGTCTCCCCTTATTTGGGGATATACTTGGATACAGGTATGTCTATTTGGTAAAGAGAGACAGGCATAATGTGATCTGCCCAAGATCACTGGGCAGGCTTAGCTGTGGGACCTACTGTTGCTGGACTCCAGTTCTACCCGTGCCCTCTCAGGCTCCAGGCAGTGTGCAAAGTCACCATGTCTGTCATCAGTAGGAACTTTCAGTGGACATGGACTATTTTTATTTTAGCAGTTTTCATACACCTTCCCTCAAACCAGAAGGACTGGGCCATACACCTGTATAATTGACCTCATAACTACAAGGAGGTTCCTTTTTTTTTGGATGCTTAGGGGAACATTAGCATTTATTTTCCTTTGGTAGTAACATATTCATACACAGATAGAATATACATGGAATCCAGGGAAAGTTGCTGATGTAAAGACATGAACATAGTATTTTTAAAGCATGTGCACTGATTTCTTATTTTTGATAGGAAAAATAATAGATTATATAAAAAACCCCTGAACCCATAAAAGTCAAGTGATTGATTTCTTCCCCTGGCAAGGCAGAGGTTGTATTTATAATTGTGCAGGCAACAGAATGGAGATAATCTAGGTTCTTTTGGCTTCTCTAGCAGAAAGCTCCAGTTCCAATAGATAGGAAATCCCATGAATCAATTCTAAAATGGACTGACTGGGAAATTTGCCAAATATCTTTTCAGCACTGGAAGGTGAGGGGTGTGAAAGTGGTTTGGAGTGAGAACTGCAAAGGTTAAAGCCTTTTTGTAAATCCAGAAGTTGAGGATTGTTTTAGGAACTGCTTAAATATTTTGAAAGATACTCAAGATGAGGCTGAGCTTTTTTATTTGTCAGTGCATTTCATTATTTAAAATATGTTGTGTTTTAGATGTTGCTGGTATGTCACTATTGGGAAAACTGTAAACATTTATTTCATGGAGTGGGAAGAATGGCATCCAGTATTTATCCTAAGCCTCCAATGTGAGCTAAAGACTGATAGCTTAAAAGGGTGGATGTTGAAATTTCCTCTTCCATCAAGGGCAGCTACTCAGAATGGAAATGCAATGGTAATTGGAGGGGTATTCATCAGATTCAATTTCACTAAAAATTTCCTTGTGTCAAAATCATCTTTAATAACATAGAGCATACAGTAAAATGTACTAAATCATTGTTTTCTTTGAAAAGGGCATGGAATCTGAAACAGAAAGTGGTTACACCGGTACAGTTTTAACCAATTAACCACAGAGGAGTTTAAATGCAACCCAATTTTTACCGTTTTGAATGGATTTTTTGTTCCCTGTTTGCATAATTCCATTCCAATTCATCTGAGTTATGTTGTAGTCACTTTCTGTTCTGAGGTTTTTCTGCTTCTTCAGAAGACATGAGAAATTAAGGTATTGGACTTTCTCTCTGATGGTTTCTTTATGATTATTTTCTTTCCTAAATGTGTTTCGTCCACCACCAAATAGTGAACATTTCATATATTAGGATTTCATCTAAGGGATAGTGTATAATTTTCTATGCTTCTAAAATAAAGTATATAGACTAATCAACTGGACTCCATTGTAAACATTTTTCTGTAATGAAAAGTCAGACAGAAAATTCAGTCTGATCAATCTATTTTTTCAGTGTTTTGAGTATGTCAAATTAAATTGAAGGCAAAAAATGATTGTGTTTTCAATATGTACTTAAACAAACTAAAATAGACATCTGATGTTTTAATTAATTCAACTAATAGAGAATTTTTTTCTGTGTTCTGGTATGTTGGAATAAAGAAAGAGCTATGTAAGGTTGGTGACCAGCTTTTATAAATGTGTTTCACCTCCCCCCTCCCATATTCACAGGAGAACTGGGTGTGTAAGATTGTGCTTTGGATTGTTTGTTGATTTTTGCGAACAGGTGTCTTATTAAGGATTTTGAAAAGCGGCCTTCAGTCACTCATCTCCTCGACCACCCATTTATTAAAGTAGCCCACGGGAAGGTTTTGTTTCTGCAACAACAGCTGGCCAAGGTCCTCCAAGACCAGAAGCATCTAAACCCTGTTGTTAAAACCAGGTATGGTACTCGGTGTCTTCCTGCTTCCTCTCTCTAGTTATTTATAAAAACAGCATGTCATGTGTTTTGATTTGCCCAGCATTATCACTGGTAATTATCACATCTCTGCATTTTTGAGAGTTTCATTTACATGACATTAGGACTCCATGCCCAGTGGATGAGAGCAGGAGAGCTTCAGAAACAAGCTACCCGATTGTGCTTTTATGGCTAATTTCTCTCAGCCATGGCTGAAATCTCACTCTGTGTTCGGTTAGCTCTAGTTAAAAAACTACAAATATATATATATATTTATATTTAATATAAATTTGAATTTTTTTCTTTTCTTTTTTTTTTTTTTAACCAATAAAGGTAACTGTGTGAAAGCAGTCACGGCTGAGATTGTGTGAAAAATCTTTACTTGGCCGTTGCAGATCGGAGAGCAGAAATTGTAGGCCGTAAAGTGATTTTTGGAAAGATTACAAGTTAAATGCTGGAGACTTTTTCTCTAATGTGCTCTGAGACCGTTTTCTTTAGTTAAAAATTCCTTAGAGGTAATTTAGTATTTTTAAATGATTATTTTCTAGATATTGCCTATGCTGTCTAAAGCAACTGTGTTTCTCCCTCCCCCACCTTTTTTTAAAGGGTACATTTTAAAAGATAAATGTTTATTTTTAGGGGCAATTGCTTAAAACAGTATTCCATGGTTGTCTCTAAGAAATAAGTCTTCAGTTTATGTCCAGAGGGTGGCACAATTTCTCTTTAAATCATTTTTTTGAATGCAAATAAACCTGCTTCCCCAGCTTAGCAATTATTTGGTTTTATAAAACTGGCCAGGATACCGATAAGCTTTAATCCATTATTGTTAAAAGAACATTGGAAGGACTGGAGGTGAAGAAAATAAAACATCACAAGTCACAAGATCTGGAAATACTCATGTATTCTGCAGAGAACTGTTTACAAATCAAAAAGCATCAGAACTCTTGGAGCTGGAGGCATAGTTTCAAGGTGACTATATCTTGTCGATTTTCCCCAACACCACCAGGTTCCAGTTTGGATACTCAAAACATTTTCTTTTCCTACTTTTTCTCCTTTTCCACTATCATTTCTGTTTCTATGGCTTGCCTACAGGGGTAGAGAAAAGCAGAAAATTTTTGTGGCTTGGTGCCTTTTTGAAGCAGTAGGAACTTGTGTTTAAGCCCTAGGGAAGTGAAATCCCCTTTCTTCCCCTGCTTTTGTTCCTATACACCAGCCACTGCCTCTCTACCACCCACCTCCACACACTCAGACACACAGCACCACCACCAAAAATGAAGATGAAGTAAAATACAAACCAAGCAAAAAAGCAAACCCAACGTTTACATGCTCTAAGTCAAATCAGATGTCTCTTCCTTGTCTCTCTGTTCTGAAATATGCTGCAGAACAGTTTCTGAGACTTAGTTTGCAAAGTTACTCAGCTTTTCACACTTGCCCGACTTTGCCTGTCCAGATGTATGCTCTCTTTTTACAAACTTTTCTCCTTTACTATAGAGAATCAGACTCCAGGCTCTGTCACCCACTTTCTCTAATTTCTCTTTATCTTTATTAACTCCTTTGATGTCAAAAGCCTCATATGGTGGCAAAGGCTTCTTTGTAATCTTCGATTTCACTCAGGAGTTTGTGTTTCTTTGAACAGTCATTTAAAAAAATACAACCTCACAAATAGATTTCAAAACTAAACAACCACTTCTTTAGGAGGTAGGAAAGTTAATTCTAAGGGAAACACAATGCATGTAATTGACACTTAACCTGCCACCTATTCCACACTCTTATTTCTTCTTAGCAAGTGGCAAGGAGTTGGCTACATCTGTATTTTTTAAGCCTACCCAGAACAATTCTCAAATATGTTTGATGCTGGTAATTTAATATATTTAAAGTTGTGAGTTTCCAAGTTAATGTGGAAAAAACAAAGAAAAATTGAGGCGAGTGCATAGATGAGTGAGGCAAATACCTATCATCATTTTTCTGCATAATTGTGATCACAGCAGATGGTACAATGTGGTGGTTAAAACCACTGGCTCTGCCAGATTTGAATCCCAGCTCAGTCACTTATAGACAAATTATTAAATTTTTCTGTTCCGAAGTTTCTTCATCTATAAAATGGGGGTTATTTTGAAGATTGAGTCAATACATAAAAATTAATTAGAAGAGCATTGATAACAGAGTTAACCCTCAATTAGTGTTAGCAGTAGTAGTCAAAGTGGTGTACATGTTCTATTTAATTCAGTCTTCCATTTCTTTTGGCCTTAATCTGTGCAAATTCATCTCTATTTACTTACCAAAGAACATCATGAGAATAAACTGTACTGAGTTACTTAATCTAAAAAATACTATTCCTACTTCTTATGTAAAATCTAGTTTATTCATTTGTTCATTCAAGAGACATTTATATGTGTGTATGTGTCAGGCCCTCTGCTGAACAGAGGAACTACAAATGCCCATCAGATACAGTTCCTGATAAAGAGCTAGTAGTCCAGTGTGTGAAACAGACAAGAATCATGTGAGAACAGCTCAGCATGAAAAGTACCTGGATAGAGGAATTCCTGGCGTACCTCCTGGAGCACCTGAGAAAGGAAGACTCCTGGAATTGGTGGGAAGATGGTCCTCGAACTGTCCTGAAGAACAAACAGAAGATAGTCAGGAAGGGAGTTATTCCAGGTAGAGAGGAAAGAATGAGCAATGAGCAGAAGGCAGAGGTGCAGAGGATGGAGAGAGTTTAGGGGGTTTGGTGAACGATTAGTTGGCACTGCTAGAACATTGGAAGGACTGGAGGTGAAGAAAATAAAACATCTCAAGTCACAAGATCTGGACATACTCATGTATTCTGCAGAGAACTGTTTACAAATCAAAAAGCATCAGAACTCTTGGAGCTGGAGGCATAGTTTCAAGGTGTTTGGTTTTTCAAGAGACAAGGCCATTCAACATGAGTTTCTTCATAGTACCTCCTCTGCCCCACACCCTCCTCAAATGTTCTGGATGTCTTCATCTAACCTCTCTGTGTCTTTCCCAAACTAGAGGTTTTTCTGAGGTCAACTTTCCTCTTAGGCCCTTGATCCCAGACCCTCTTGCTTTCTCTATTACCTTCTCTTTCTTTATTTACAATGTCTCCCTCTATATAAGATCCTCTCCTTCACCTGTCTAAGTTTTCCCCATCCTTTAAGAACCTGTGTTCTCCCCCTGCAGCCCCCTCAAACTACCAACTTCTCTCTCCACTGGGCAAAGCACTAAAGTGGTGAACAGAATATTCCCTGCCTCTGCAGGAACAGTAAGACAGTGTTCCCTATAGGCTGTTAGGTCTCATTTTTTTCTGCAATAACCTCAAAACTAAATAAGTTACCCCACCTGGGGGGCCCAGGACTGTTTGGACCATGGAAGAACCCTACTTTGGGCAGAAAGCTGGAAGCTTTGTGTAATATCTGGAAGTACTTGGCATTGCATTTGATAGGCTATGAAGAGAAAGCAAAGTCTTTTGACTGGTCTCTGTCTCTTACTGTCTTACAATTTCTGTTTGATTGCAGTCTGAACCAGAGCAGGGAGGCAAACCCAATTTGGGTAGACCCTGCAACACTTCTCTCTTTCCCTAATCTCTCTCAACCAACCACCACCAAGTCCTGACAACATAATTATCTTAATATCTTTTGCTATTTGCAGTTGCCACACTGTGCTCACTCATCTCTCTGGCTCCAGCCTCGCCCACCTCCATTCCATTCTCTGCAATCAGAATGACCTTCCTGGAGCACATCACTGTTTGAAACTCTTATGTGGTTCCCGAGTGCCTACGTAACATATCCAAGCTCCTTAGCCCATCATGACCTGGCCCTTGCCTGCCTTGTTCACCCCTTCATCCCACCCAGGTTCTAGCAATGCCAACTAATCGTTCACCAAACCCCCTAAACTCTCTCCATCCTCTGCACCTCTGCCTTCTGCTCACTGCTCATTCTTTCCCCTCTGCCCCAACACCACCAGGTTCCAGTTTTGGATACTCAAAACATTTTTTTCCTACTTTTTCTCCTTTTCCACTATCATTTCTGTTTCTATGGCATTCAGGAGAACATTTGGCACTAGAACTTCTCAAAAAATGTACCATCACCGCCACTGCCTTTCCCATCTCTCATTTCTAGCAATTCTTAGCAACAAGAAGTAGAAGTAGAGAAAGCAGATACTGTAGTCTTCTTTAGGCTGGTGACTGGCTTGGATGGACATGATGTTGGGACAAGGGGGCATGAGAATCAAGGTGAGTAACAGAGTATCCTTGGGGTCTTTTTGGAGTATAGAAGAAAGGGAAGTCAGAAGTGGCATCTTGACTTTGAGTCTGGGTCTGGGTTAGGGGACTGGCAGTTACAATGAAGATGAAGAGCAGATTCAGTGAAAGGATGGTGAGAAAAGGGATTGTAGAACTGAGATCCTGGGAACTTTTGAGAGATAATTCGGAACTAGTCATGGCTGAACTTGTGAACAGCTTCAGTGGAGTACAAATAAAAGTTTTAAAAGAGTTGACAAGTTGAGGGACCTTGAGATCACAGTGTGAGAAGAATTAACAAAGTGATTGGTGGGAGATGGGAAAACTGAAGACTGATATCAAAGGAAGGGATAGAGAGAGAGGAAAATGGGAGTCAAGTGCTGGAGATGATATACAAGAATGGTGTGAAAGTTTTAAAAGGGAGAGCTTTCTTAGGAAAAACTATGGTTGAAAAAAGGCAGAGGGGAGCAAGAAGGATGCCCCCTTCCCCTGTCCTCTCACATGGAAGGTGAAGCTGGGGCAAGAGCATTATGGGGAAGTGGTCCATTTCAGTCATGTTGAGGAGATAAATGTGTATTCAAGAACAAGGCTAGGAATCATGGGAGCTTGTTCACTATAGAGCAGAAGCTGCACTGTGCATGAAGAAGGGCTTGAGTGGTGAGGCCCCATCGCACCTTTCCTAGGCCTAAGCATTCTAGCTCTTTTGAGTGATGCAGTTTTTTGGAAAGCCAGACTGTGATCCATT